ATTTTATCTTGTGTCTCATATTGGATCACTCTTAAAAGTCAATTACATGACTAAATTCAGCATCACAGATGGATGTTACAAACTTCTTGTCTGGATCCTCATAAACCTGGACATTTTCTATTAATAATACCAATTTACTAACATCACTGAACACTACTGACTTGCAGAGAGCTTTTCCTCACCAGTCCTTACCAGTGCTAAATAACTCACCTTTTGAGGAATTAGGCATATCTGGATTTTTTTTTGTTTCTCCAAATATGTGAATACAAATTACTTTATCACGTGATTTGCACAATTCCATTAATCGCTAGCACTGCTACGATATCAAACTACTTTTGAATGTCTAAAATAAAATTCTACCAGAAATTCAGCAGAGATCTAAAGAACTATTAGAGTCTGCAGAATTTAGCTTTGTCAGAAAATACTGAATTATCATTTAATTTGTCTGTATTTATCAAACCATTTGTTTGGCACATCTCTTTGCAGCATGTGAATATTAAATTAAGTTTTAAAAAGACAAACACAAGCCATTCATCTGCCCAGTAAAATAATTATTCATAAAGCATTTTAATAGAGTAATTTCATTCTACTAATCTGTTTTTTTTCCAGCAGTGCAGTTTTAAGTTTTACATAATGATAATACATGAATCTCTTATTAATATATCGACACCTACTTAATGTCTGTTTATAAAAAGCTGTGGAATATAATAATGACTAGTAATTAATAACATATCTTTAAAGGATTTATTGCAACTCGGAGGTCAAGATGCATTTCAATATCATTCGCCTCAGCATCTTGAAAGTGAGATTCTTCACATTCTCAGTAACAAGAAGATGTCAGTCAACGTGTCATCATAGAATCATAGAATGAGAGAATGGTTTGGGTCAGAAGGGACCTTAAAGATCATCCAGTCCCACCCCCCTGCCCCGGGCAGGGCCCCCTTCCCCCAGCCCAGGGTGCTCCCAGCCCCGTCCAACCTGGCCTTGAACCCTTCCAGGGAGGGGGCAGCCACAGCTGCTCTGGGCACCCGGGGCCAGCGCCTCACCCCCCAAACAGGGAAGAATTTCTGCCTTACATCTAATCTAAATCTACCCTCTTTCAGTTTAAAACTGTTACCCCTCACCCTATCACTACACCCCCTGATAAATCGTCCCTCCCTATTTTGCCTATAGCCCCCTTTTAAATACTGGAAGGCTGCTATAAGGTCTCTCCAGAACCTTCTCTTCTTCAGGCTGAACAACCCCAGCTCCCTCAACCTGTCTTCAGGAGGGAGAGGTGCTCCAGCCCCCTGATCACCTTCATGGCCCAAAATATTCAAAAGGTCCAGGAGGCTTGAGAACAGGAGGTAATTCTCTAATTCTAATCTTTACTACCAATCAAAAGGCTGATAAAATGAGTTACACTTGCATTTATTATGCATGGCTTATAGAAGTTGTGTTGGTTTTGGCTGGGGTAGAGTTGATTTTCTTCCCAGTAGCTACTGCGGGGCTATGTTCTGGATTTGTGCTGAAAACAGCGTTGGTAACCCCGGGCTGTTTTCGGCGCAGCCCAGCAGAGCTCACCCAGAGCCAAGGCCTTTTCTGCTCCTCCCGCCGCCCCACCAGCGAGTGGGCTGGGGGGGCACAAGGAGCTGGGAGGGGACACGGCTGGGACAGCTGAGCCCAACTGACCCCAGGGACATCCCACCCCACGGGGCGTCCTGCTCAGCGTGTAACGCTGGGGGAAGGAGGAGGAAGGGGGGACACTGGGAGCGCTGGCGTTTCCCTGCCCAAGTCACCGTTAGGTGTGAGGGAGCCCGGCTGTCCTGGGGATGGCTGAGCCCCGGCCTGCCCCTGGGGAGTGGGGAGGGAAGCCTGCTTGGGCTTGCCTTGTGCGCACGGACTTTGCTTTGCCTCTTAAACTCTCTTGATCCCAACCCACCAGTTTTCTCAGTTTTACTCTTTCGACTCTCTCCCCCATCTCAACACAGCAGGGAGTGAGAGCGCAGTTGGGTGCTGCTTCTTTGCTGTCTGGGGTTAAACCACAACAGCAGTTTTGACAATTTGGTGTATCGCAACAAACACATACTTGCTGAAATATTATGTCATCTTTATCACCTTGGCAACTGCGAGCGTGCCAGAGGATTTACACCATGAAAAAACCTCACCCAAATCCCTCACTTCATGTGTAGATTTTAACATGTGTGGTGTGTGGCCAATAAGCAGTCAAAAAAGCAGGATAGTGATTTATTGTAATAGACTCACTTGATAGACTTGAAAGGCTTAATTTGATATGCCTGCTATAACTTCTCCTAACATGGAGTATATACAAAATATACAGAGGTGCATGTAGATGCTGGTGTACTGTTATTTTTAGGCATTCTCAGTTGTGTGGTTACTTCTGTTCTTGATCTTGCTAGTGGCATACTTTTAACTTTTAAATTGATCTATTTGTGCATTTGCTCTCTTTCATATATTTAATAGCTTGGTTATGATTAAAACTAATGCCAGCCATCTGAAGGTTTGTTCCTGGAAGGTCAATAATAAAAATACCTCTCATAGAATGGTTTGCATGGCTTCTCTGGCTGTAGCATTATTGACTTCTTCAGTGCAGTCAAACACTGTAAACAATTTCATTCCTGCATTTTTACTATCACTTGTGAAATAGAGTTTTTGGTACAAGCCATTCGAAGTTCAGTACATAGAAAGGTAAGTTTGGGGGTAGGGACTAGTCACTGTGCATACAGCAGCCAGAAGAATAAGTTTCTGTTTGACAACAAAATCCAACATTTTGAAACACTGAGATAAAATTGGGACAAATAGCCACACATACACAGGATTTCCAAATGCTAAACAAGTCACTAAAGGAGCCATCAAATCTAGCTGGTGGTGAGCAGAATGCGACCTATCCTAAATACATTGTGAGTCCCCCGCGTCCCTTGTCACTTACCACATCCGCCCTCTGTCTAAAGCTAGCAATGAGCTGTAACCCTCCACTACCACACTAAAGCCTCTAATTTAGCTATCTAAATTATTAACCATCATTGTAATCTTGACTATTTATGGAATGATTGAGAGAGAGAGATTGAGAGAGAGAGCGAGAGATTCTCCTCCGTTCAGTTCCGTGTAAGAACAGGGAAGTTATGTGTTTACAAACTTGCACAAACGTGCTTTGGAAACAGGCGCCTCCTGTTACCTTACAGCTGGCAACGTTCTGGTTGCAACACCTGTTCCTCACTGATGTGGTTTACCTTGACATGTTGTCCTAATAAACAAGCATCTCCTCTGGTTTGTTTCATAACCAGCAATTCCTCACTGAATCCTTTCACCTTGCCCTTCCCATAATCTGCTGCTTTTGCCATGTAATTACCATTTACAGGGCAAGACACTTGAAGTTACCTTATCCACCTATTTTGCATTGGATGGCGCTTTGCTTGGAACCACAAATCATTGAAGATTTGAGCCCTGCCTTCAGCCTCAATGGGTGTATTTCAGCTTCACCTTTTGTTGGCATCTGAATGGAATACGCAACAGTTAATTGTGCGTGGAAGTACATTACTTCCATACAATAATTAGCACTGACAATGTAGAATTTTCCACCATATTTCTTGGTGTAAATTACATCAAGTTACGTGAACTACCATTTTGTTTCAGCTGAAATGAAAAATGCCCCATGATTCCCCATAGACTGCAATCTGATTTGGTCAATAGATGTGTGGACCAGATCACACCATGACTTTATTCAAATTCTTTTCTTCTATAACTTGCTGATAAACATGACAAGACCTTTTGTATCACTTACTCAAAATGCAAAGTACAGCAAATAAATAGTGCTCTCTTCATTTTCCTTTTTTATATGAACAGTGTGTAGAAGATGTCATGGTGATCGAGACAAGCTGAGCACATAACAGGAAAAGCACAACCTTACGGGCTTAAGTGGGAATGTGGCTTTCTGTTCAATCTTGGAAAAAAAATACTGACACTACAATGGTGTGGGACTGTGGTTCTAAAGCTGGATAATGTATGTGAGGAAAACTGCAGAACCACAACTGCCGTTTTAAAGCTGTGAAAAAAGGATAATTAGGTGGTTTCACTGTTTTATAGAGAGACATTTATGATCAGCATCTCCCTTTTTATTCCCATTACAGCAAGCGGGCAAGCTGGAGAACAGTAAAGTATGACATGAAGTAAGCAGCGTTTAACCTCATAACTACAACAAAGTGGCAGCAGCAGAGGAAGGAAAGAGCACTTGCTCTCCAAGTCCTCGGCCGGGTGATTTCTCAAGTCCTAAGAGAGCTGCCAGCCCGCCGTGCCGCTCTCCCGGTGCGGGCAGGCCGGCCGCGGGAGGGGCAGGGGTGCAGCGGTGCCGTTTTGGCAGGCGGGAGCGTAGGCTGCCGCCCAACAGACGGCCCCGGGACCCCACCCGGGAACCTTTTCTCTGTAATTTGTTCACGGATGAAAATACGTTGCATGAGTTCAGCCCATACGGCACTGGAAAATATACACGGTGCGGATGAGTTCTTGTTGCCTGCCTTCTGAAACAGCGGATCACATTTGCTGCTAAGGAGGACACCCTCCTTTCTAAGGTGGATATCACTCCAGTGTTTTCAGAAGTTTTTTGTTCAGCTAATATCACCTTGCTATGAAAACAAAGTACTTTATAGTCAATGCCAGAACATACGTGTATAAAACGTATGTTACTAAACACAACGTGTATAAAATGTATGATACTAAACCTTTTTAAAAACCTAGGAAGCTGAGGACGCTGGAAAAAAACAGCAGGTGTGTAGGATCTAGCAGAAGATATTTGCTTTAATCCTACTAGTAAGAAGCCAGCAGCTTTTACAAAACAAATCTTGAGTAATGTATTTTACACCTACACAAAAGAACAATGTAAAAGAAATAGCTGTTTGAAAGTCAATCCTTTTTTTTAGTCAATATTTCAGTGTTTTGAAGGGCCAGTAACATATCGTATTTCTGGGTTTGTATAACAGAAGAGCGGTGTTTATATCTGAAAAATCATGTTCAATTTCAGAAGCATGCTGAAGATACTACAGTTCCTGAAATTATTTTTTTTTCCTTATTCATATTTCCTCCATGCAAAAAAAACTTTTGCTGGGGAAATAGTGTTTATTACTGGCTCTGCAAATGGGATTGGAAGGCAGATTGCCTTAAAGTTTGTTCCTTTGGGAGCAACATTGGTTCTTTGTGACATTGATGAAGAAGGTAACAAAGAAATAAGCAGATTGGCCCCAAAAAATTGAGCTAAACAAGGGTTTGACTGCCGCTGTGACTGCAGCAATAGGGAGGAGGTCTATGAACAGGCAGACAAGGTAAGATGCATCTTCTGATTTTTTGCTTCTTTTTAATAGTATATGCTACTGAATTTATTTATTTATTTTTAGAAACTGTATTATTAACTAAAGGGAAGAAATCATGTAGGGTAATGACTTTCTTTTTTTGACAAGTAGCTTCTAGATGGAACTTAAACTATGTTTGCAATAAAGAAACTGTGTTTAATCTTTTTTTGTCGAGATTTATTAATTTCCAGTCTTTGTTGGGAGATGGTAACTTCTTTTAGATTTAGAGTATGGTAAAACATGCAGCAGAGGTTAGCTCCCTGTATTATCTTGTTTAAGCTTTAAAATTTCTTTAATATATCAAGTAATAAAAATAATAAAAAAAAAAACAAAAACTTAAATAAACCCAGTGAAAATTGTAAGAGGGGGTGGCCTTTTGTCCATTTGTTTAGAAAACTGTAGTTCTGTAGGAATAATGTGGGGTGTAATGGTTTCAGTAAGGTAGAGAAGGACTCTATTTTAAATGTGACTCTTCTGCTGTGCTGACCTACACTTTGTCGACTATTACTTATTATTAACAGAGTACAGAAATTTAGCTTTAAATGAACATCATTAATTTTTACCTGTCCTTAAACTATGTGCTTCCTGAAAATGTTTCCCAGTATAACTTCATTTATAATCCAGCTAGCCAGTCTGCCATTTTATCCAAGGATAAATTCTTCTGTTAAATTCTCAGTATAGGTACTTACATACATAGCTCTCAAATCACATCTTTAACATTCTATGTCTGAATACATACATCAGAGAAATTAGCTAAAATATTTGATGATACGTGAATGTTGACAGATTGTTTTGAAATAGCCTTGAAATGTAACATTAATTTTCTATGAATTGTCAGGGAGGCTCTTTGTTTTCTGGTTGTTGCTTTTAATTTTATCCAGAACAGATTAATTCATTCTGAACACAGCTATAAAAGTTTGAAATAAATGTTTTTCCTCAAGAAATGTTCCTGATGAAAAGTACTTCTAAATGGTAAGTCGGATTCAGCATCTGTAAGTATCTGGAACTGAAATTCTCATGCTTGCAGTCAGCAAGGTATTATTTTACCTGTACTTGTTAGCAGCATTTGGAACACAGGCAACTAACAGTGCAAAGTAAAAATTTCCATTTGGGGTCATTGGTGCTAGATTTTAAGAACCACAAGTGATATCATAGCATTATTTGAACAGGATGGCAAGGATATATTGTAGCATAATAGTATGTTTGCAGAAATGAGCAAGTTGTTGAGTGTTCTGGCCTGTGCTGACCCAATAGGCAGTGTTCAAGGAGGATGATCTTTGCCAATTACTTGGGCAGTACAGATTGACGTGATCCTCCCTGTGTAAGACACTGATTACGACTCTGCAATTCTGGAGTAGGAATCCCAGTAATTTCAACAATCTTAATATCAGTTATCACTTCCCAGCAAGATGAAAAATCAGTCTGAGCAAACTTGCAGTCAGTACTTCAAAGGTGATGCTTGATCTTTATTTGGAATGATACTATAAATCAAACAGCAATTCTTCTAGAATCCCCTTTTTTGCAGGGAAAAAACTCACTTTAGAATTTACCAAGATAAAATCTCTTTAAAAAATAACATTTTAAATTAGCATTAAATCCCTGTTCCCATAAAGGTTATCTGCTTCTTGCAAAGACACTCACCAAAAATTATTAGCTTAAGCTTATGTAAGTGATTTCTCTGTTGGACTTTCTTGTTGATGCTGAATATTTTGAAATTATTTGTTTGTTCGTAGTTTAACAGAATCTCAAAATGTTTGTTAATCTCCAAACACATTAACAGCATCAGCCACAGGGCTCCAGCCTGCCCACATCAACATTTGCTGTGCCCACATCAACAAATAGTACTCTAAAGTGCACAGACTGACCTGCAAACAGAAACTCAAAAAGCTGTTTAAAATCCAGGAATTGCTGTTAAGGTGTTTAATTGTTGCTAACAAAACCAACATCTTTGTAGGTATTTGCACAAATTGAACAGTCATGATGGAGCTGGAAATTTTTTTAAATAAAGTTTTTCAGCTGGGGGCCTCCAATACTCTTGGAAATAGCTGCAACTTTTTGACTGGTAATATGAAAAATCTTGAGCTTGGACACAGAAGATAAAGCAATAGCAGAAAAGTTAAATTAATTGCTTTTACTTGGTATATTCACAGCAGAAAAACCTAGTTATTCTCCCATAATGGAAGCTTTCTTTCTAGGAGGCAAATTAGATCATCAAAGTCCCTAAAGAAGAGGTTTTAGAATAAACCAGTGAAGTGAACAGCAACTAATTTTCAGGATCAGTCAGTGTGCGTCTGGCAGTTCTGAAGGAAATCAGATACTGATCTGAGGAGCTAGGAATGCATGGGGGTGTTTTGCTACAACAGGTGTCCAAGGAACAGAGAGTAGCACATATACCAGTTTTAAAGAGCACTTGAGAGGACACAAAGAAACTACAAACCTGCCTTATAGAAAACTGGTAGAAATTATGATAAAGAGAAGAATTAATAGGCACCTAAAGAAATGCATAATCAGCTTGACTTCGTAAATGGGAGTCATGCTTCCCACATTTTTGGGGGCAGTGAGTAAACAGGTCAAATGAAACCAGATTAAATAAAATGCTGCCATTGGGGAAGCTATGTTGTCACTGAAGAAAAAGAGAATCATCATATGGACTGACAGAGTAGTTAAAAAGTACGAGTGGGTAGAAAGTACAGATAGAGCCCACAAAGGAAGAGCTGGGCATTCCTTCCATACTCAGCAGTGTCTAGATTTGCATTAATTTGTGCAGGTGGGCAGGTGTTAGTATCTGAGCCCCGCTTGTCCATGATGAGGAGAAAGACTGACACAGCTGGAAGAGTATCAAATGAGTGTTCACTGAACACTAAGGTTCCCTGACAGAGCCAAAAGAAGGTCAGATATTGGGGCATCAGATCCTAGCACCTATTACCTCTTTCAAAATTTCTAGATATCAGTTTATCTGGGATTTTTTTTATGTTTTTGTAGTCATTCTATAATTTTTGAGACACCAAATAACCGTTTGACTCTAGCACAGAAATCTCTGCAGCAAGCCTGATTTGTAATACTATAAGTGAATCTTGGTCATCTGCTTTGATATAAATCCAAATCATGGGATAAAATCTTTTTATAACAAAGAAAAAATGAGCTAATGGTGATTTTGGCCTTCTCTCCAAGTAATGTAATCTATTTATTTCATGGTACATGCTTCTGTACTCAAAGGATTGGTATCCCTCAGGGATCTGCACTGAATTCTTTCCTGTTCAGTAAAAATTATCTGCAAAAGGGGTTGAGCAGGCTTGGCTGAGGAATACAGATTCTCACAATACCAGAAATAAGGGAAAAAAAAATGTTCAAGTTGCAATTAAAGCATGCTCACAGTGCACACTAAAGCTTTGTAACTCATTACCTTAGGTTCCTGTGGAAACCAAAAGTATTTTGGAGTTCAGGAAGCAATTAGACAAATTCTTGGGGAAAAAAAAAAAAAAAAAAAAAAAACCATCATGGGGATATATTAAATACAGAGATATATATATCTCTCTCAGGAGGATCGTAAGCTTCAGAGTGTGATAAGTTGAGGAGTACACTGGAGGAGACCTTGGAGTTCTGGTCCTTTTTTTCTGCTTGCCACCATTAGTCAGGGGTTATGGGGCTAGATGGACCTTTGATCTGATGCAGTACAGCAGTTCTTACATACCTACATTTCCAGTAGATATATAAATAATTACAAATATCACTAAATATTTTCATAAATGAAGAACAAGAGGCAAGGGTATGTTCTAAACCTTTCTGCTTATCCTTTTTTTTTTTTAATTCAGGTGAGAAAAGAAGTTGGGGATGTTAGTATTCTAATCAATAATGCTGGCATACTACTTGGGAAAAAGTTCTGTGACATTCCAGATGCAGATTTTGAAAAGACCTTAAGAGTCAGCTTCTCGTCTCAAGTCTGGGTAATGTATTTTTTTTCTCTGCTGTGTCACCAAAAGGTGCCGGCAAGTATTTTAGTGTGAAAATCACCATGGTGGCACCCCACCTGGGGAACCCAATTTGGAATAGGGATGGGAAGGTCATTAAATGGGGGAAGATACATTTTTTTAATCATCCTGTAATTGGGGGCACACTAAATTGACCGTATCTCTACTATGTCTCAGTAATGTTAACACAAACCTGCCTGGGCACTCTGGTAAATTAAAAGCTTGTGTGGCTGTGCCGTGAAACATGCTCTATCTGTCACAGCTGTGGCTGAAGTTACTGCTGACATGGCACATGACTTTCCTGCTCTTGAGGTTTTCTGGCATCAGAAGGCTCTGTCTAATAGACTTCTAGCATTTGGGGAGGCACAGGCATGGTTTAGTGGTGGACTTGGCAGTGTTAGGTTTACGGTTGCGTTCGATGACCTTAAAGGTCTTTTCCAACCTAAATGATTCTGTGATTCTATGCTGCGCCTGTTTGTGTCAGACTTCAGGTTGTGCTTTCATCCCTAATCACCATCTGCTTATCTGGATAGTATGTATTATCTTTGTTTTGTTTTCATACCTCTGAAGGTATTTGCTGTTATTTGGGGTCTCAGCTGACATTTAGAAGGTTTTGTTGTGAGGGAGTGTTACTCTTGCCTCCTCTTGCATTTGTTGTTTATATGCCTGAGTGAGCAGCCTGCATCAGGGAAAAATGTAGCATTGCAACTCCCTCACTAAATGGCATTTCTCACAGAAAATCGTTGCACGTAGAAATCCTCTAATCATTTCCCAGCCCACGGTGCATCATTCTTCCAAATACTTGAGGCAAAGGGACTGGGAGAGGTGTTCCACTTGACAGGTCTGAAGAGACATAGGGCAGGAGGACAGTTACCGTGGGCCCTCAGTGACAAGATGTACACACATCTAGAGTTGAATAGGCACTGCAGGACATCTCAGCTATTGAAAGCAAATTTGTTATTGCTCTTGTCTTTTATCTTATCTTCACCCTCATAAAACACTAGCGTTCTCCTTATAAAGGTAGTATCACCCACAGTGGTGGACTGGGGTGCCGGAGCCGTCAGGCAGTTTGGTTTGTGATAAACAGGGCCCATAGGCAGCAGAACTCCCCTTGATGTGTTGACTTCTAGCTCCCTCTTGTGTACTGAATCTTTGGTAATAATCTCAAACAAGCTCAAACCGTGACGAACCAGGAGTCAGAGAAAATACAAACTTTGCTGCTTTTCGTAACACGATTTTAATGCTGACACATCTACAGATAGAGGGCAATCATTCAAGGAAATGGTGCCTCTCGTTTATAAATTCTTACAGACATAAAAGGTCGGTTGGGCTTCTCGTATATTGGAGCCCCAGAAAGCAAATTGTATTGTGAAGCTTAATTTAGAATTCAACATTTTTGGCATGTCTAGTTACAAAGGGATTTTTTTATATGTCTCAGACTTGCAAGGCCTTTCTTCCAGCCATGATGACCTGTAGCCATGGACACCTGGTTAGCACAGCCAGTGCAGCAGGATTGTTGGGCATCTACAGGATGTCAGGTTACTATCAAGTGCCATTACAAACTACATCTACATATCCATAACTTTTCTTGGAGATCTCATAAACGCTTGGCTTAAGCAGTTTATACTGACATACTGAACACTTAGGAAGAGCCTGCAGATATGAAAGGTGGTGGTGTATTGAAAAGGACGAGGGTGTCATGTTGCCTGAGTGGCACAGGGAGCTCACTGCAGATTTTACCGTCTGACTGCAGCCTGTCTTATCTCCACAGAAGAAGGACAACACAGCTCGTACGTGTGCGGTGGGAGGGAGCCCTGCGTACAGGTTGTCTAATACTTTCTCATGCCAGGTTTTCTGCAGATCCATGTTCAGTGTCCTGAGACATACATGGGTTATACCTGGAGCTACTACTTTAGTTGGGAAATGGTTTTCAGGCCCAGGAGGCATCTTGACAGAATTTTAATGAAAGTTAATTTGAATGAACTGTGTTGTAAGCTATTTAACAGCTCCATATTCTCAGCTGTTTTCCCTCAGGAGAGCTGTCTGCTGCAGTCCTGACTGTTTCATCAGTCTGGATCTGCTGCCCAGTCTCTCCTCAAGCCTCTCTGACATCCTGATCGTATCTTGCGTCGCACTATGAGAATGTGAACTTCAGTGTAATAAGTATCTCTTAGTTTCTTCTGCTGGTTGATGGTGCCATGGTAGTGGGTTTTTTGCCACCTGCTATTGTTGGGTAAGATTCGGTATTGATAATAGGTCACATCCAGCTTTCATCATTTAACTCCAAGGCTTATGAGAGTGGACCTACCTATCCATGCATTGTAACTTTTTACACCTTAGCTATGCATTTTTAAGTTGTATGGTTCCATTATCCACTATGGGTGAATCCCTGAAGAATAACAAACTGTCTCTGATGCCAGTTTTTGATTTTACTCTTCTAGCAAAATTGGATTTCATTCCATCTAACAATTTTTTTCACACATATTTGAAAAAGCCTTAGGAAACCACATGTAAATGCCTATCTTAAAGTAAGGTTCTTACAGTTGCAAAATTGTAGAATAAATTGGGCTAGAAGGAATCTCTGGAGGTCATTTGGTCCATACCCCCAAATAAAAGCAGGCCCAACTCAGATCAGGTTGCACAGGGTCTTGTGAGGGCAAATTTTTATTATCTCCAAGGACGGAGTTCCATACATTCAACATTAAAAATCAGACAAGATTCAATCTTCCCAGTCAAAAAAAAATAGTACTCTAGTTGCAGGGCAAACCAGCAGAAGAAGTAATATGTTGAAGCAACATTTATAAGTAGGGTATTTAGATTTTTACAACTAAAAATAGTTCTTACTGAAATGTAACCTGTGATATTAAAGGGTGAAGAAGTTCTCAATTGAAAGAGTGCTTGGCTTGTATCCGAGTATCTGGAAATGTATATAAAATGTTGAATAAGCTCATTTTCCTGTATTTCTCTACAGTCCGCTGAAAAAAAAGTCCTCTGGAATGGATGAAGTCTTGTCCTTAAACAACTGTGCATCAGACATGGGAATAGACATTAACCTTCAGAGTCAGCAGTACCAATATGTACAGCATCCTTAAAATATTAATTGCAAGACTGCTAATTATATAACTAAGTAATATCAGGGCTTGAATAGTATTACAAAACATTAAATTCTAGATATAATGCTTACTGTGGTGCTTTTGACATAGTTTGGATATTTCTTCTTTCTTCAGTTTTCAGATTATTCTGCAAGTAAGTGTGCAATCATTGGAATGATGGAAGCCACAGAACCAGAACTCTATCATGCAGGAAAACAAGCCATTAAAACCACAATCATTTGCCCTTATTTTACTAATATTAAATTAGCCAGTGGTTTTCAAATCAAGTAAGTAAAACTTGGATCATGTACTATTTCATATGTAAAAAAATAATCATTACTTACTAGATATGTCATATTCAATCTCTAGCTATTACAAGGTTGATTTGCTTTTCAATTCAGTATTTCTGCCCTATTGGGATATATAACTACATAAGAAATCTGAGTCTTGAGTAGAATTAATAAGTGACGTGGAACAGGGACTGTGTAACAACCTTGCAGTCAAGGAAGGGTTAGGGATGCACAGCAGTGTTTAAGGCAACCTCATTTGTCCGTAGAACGGTCACTGTTGAAGTTCTCTGCCCCAAGTAATTTTGGCATTCTGGTTACAGTTATAACTGTCCGGATACCCATGACCTGTCATTATTAACTATCCCCCGCTCTCTGTATTAGCAGGTACTGCACTCCTCTGAGTCAGAACGGCTGTGGTGGTAGTATCTGGTGGGTGTCTGTGTGGTTGTAGCAATGGGAGATGCTTCAGGCACCAAATTAGCCACTGCAGTAGTGTAGCACCAGGGATCACGGTTTTTCAGCGCTCTGCTCCTGCTTCCACCATTCATCGTGCGGGAGTAGCGTATGTTATGCAGAGCACAGCCTTTCTCCTGGCTGGAAACAGGCCTGGTCAGGGTCTCTTCAGCTGTCGCCTCAACATCTACAGTAGAAAAGGAAGGTGGAACTCTCATGTAGACAACAGCGTATACTATGGATTAGCTGGGAAGTTCTCAATGCTGCCATCACTGTGGGCATTCACTTCATTTGGGACTGAGCAGGTTTTGCACAAAAAGTTACTCATTAGTCAATAAAATGCACAATCTCACCAAAGTGGTTTGAGTTTACTTTGATAATAGAAGGAACAAAGAGGATTGGATACTCCTTTTCAAGACTACTTGAGGGGATTGGGAAAAATTCTTAAAGGATTTAATTAAATTATTTCTGTGCTAGAATACAACTCAAAAGTAAACTTTTATAATGTTATAATGCTTTGTTTCCTGTTTCACCAGAAACCCACTTATTCTTCTTGTTTATGATGTAGAGTATACAGCCAGCAAGATCATGGATGCAATTCAAAAGGAAAAGTTTTATTTGATCATGCCTCTGACTTCATACCTTTTGCTATCAGAATGTAAGAATGTGACTCTTCTTCTAGCATTGCATTCTTTCCTTTGACATATGCCTGCAAAATCAGTGGGAATGTTTAGTAAAAACAATCTTTCAGTTAGTATTCCTGCAGTCAATCCAGTTATACCTACTCAATTATGAAGAAACAGTGGGTTTAATTTTTAATAATCTAGGTGATTAGCATTCCTCTGGCCACTGCTGTCTTTAATATACATCTTAAGCAATAGGCAGGTATAGCAATTTCAAAAGATTTCCTGGGATGGCACACTGGGAGCAATGTGTGGGCTAAAACTGTCTGCTTCCAGGAACTGCTTCCATCACTGGCTGGGCTTTCACAAAACGGCTTGGTCCGTCATTCCTTTCCCCCATTTATATCATGGGAGTGCCAAATGAGTTACTGCCAGACATCGGAAGTATTAAGTACATATAATGATTTTATAATTTGTTTATTTATAGAGTATATTTTTCTAAAAAAAAAAATCCATAAGGCTAACTCTGTGTTTGTCTCATCAGTCTCATTCCTAGAAAAATAGTACTACGCTTCAAATCTTGCTTTAAGATCCCTAACAGATAAAGCCTTTGGTCCAAAGAGGATTGAAAACAAAATATTCTGAAGACCTCAAGTACCATCTAATCGAAAATTTTCAGTAAAAATTAATTTTGAACCCTGTTTATTCTTTCACAGAAAATTTGCTTCTTGTATGATATTTGACATTGGTCAGTACGCTATTTAATTCTTCACAACTGTCTTCTAACCACTTATTTTTAGCCACAATCTGCTCTCTTATGTCATGACTTCATGCTTCTTTTATCTGAGCTCACAATAAAAGTCGGTAACACGAATCAGGGATGTTTGACTTCATTTCATACTCTGAATTCTCAATTTCTGAGCAAAATCTCAAAGCCTGGGAAAAACGTACTGCTGTTCATGCAGAAAGAAAAAAAAAAAAAAAAAAACACAAAGCATTTAACATATTTGCCTCACTGTGAGAGGATGAGCTGTGGCTGGCGAGCTGTGCAGGGAGCCCGTGTCCTGAAGAGAACTGCCGAGAGGGCTGATAAAGTGTGTGCAGAGCTGTGCCGCTCACCGTGCTCCTCCTTAGTCACAGCACCCTTCTCTAAACACAGTCCTATGGGATGTGTGTGCCTCAGTTTTAATCCATAGCTAAAGGCTGATATCGGATCATTTATCAAAAGCTGCGGCTTAGAAAGAGCATTTGCAGAACTGTAGTGATGGGGAAAAAAAAAAAAAAAAAACATGTGCTTTCTCAGAAAGGAAAGATAATGAAGCTCCACACCAGTGGAAGCAGACAGGAAAAAAAATCCATTATAGAAATTACTTATGTGGTAATTAATTGCCTCTGCAAATTTTGTAAAATGTTCCTCCAGCAATAGAGTCACATCTAGACATGGGCTTTGTGGTGAGCATCCGCTGCAGGCGTGTTGAGCACTGGTGAAGTCCAAAGGCACCTGACTCCCTTCTCTGACCCTACAGCACCTGTGCAGCTCTGAAGAACCCTGCCGAGGCTGGAAAATTGTGTTCAAGTCGTTGTGTCCCAGGTTAGGTCCCTGATGTCAGCAGCTGAACCTTGAGCTGCAAACTGGTCCATGCAGTTCTTTTTAGTTCCAGTGACCTTCGTGAAATTACTTAGAAAATTGTTGACCTAAGAGTATTGTGAGAAATCTTTGCAGGAGGTCTTTGCTAATCTTCTGAGTCATTTTTGAAAAATCATTAACATTTAAAATTACATAGGTATTATGTTAAGTGACCAAGCAACAATTCTGCATGGACTGTATTGTTTTCAGAGACTGAAACTTCAGTGAGGTAGCCTGTCTGTTAGCGTGAAACATAACTCCTTTGTAAATAATGGGAAAAGAAATATAGACAGGAAGAATATCTCATGTAGTCTTGGACAATTTGGGGAAAAATCTCTTCTTATATTTGGAGAGAAGTTACACCCATGTCCTTCAACTGTCTTTAAATGAAATTACAACCTAAAGGTCCTAAAGAAAAAAACTCCCCAAGAGCAGAAATTCAGATTAGTTAGGCAAAACTGTGTGCCGGTCCTCAATTGACAAAAATCAATCCTCATACAACTTTTCAGAAAATGCTAACATAAAACATTCATAATTTGCTTAATTTAAAAATAATTAAATAAGTTCCAGACCAGAATAGGGAATCTACAAAGAATAGTTTATGAAACTCCACTGTAAGGAATTAAAGAGAACCTTGAACAGTCATTTATTACCCACATTTGTCACCATATTTCTGTTGTACTTAACTAACCCCATACTTACAAGCTCCCTTCTAACTACAAATGCCTATAAGAGTGCACACTCCAATTAAAACCCTATTTCTTGAAATTCCAGTGTTTTCAAAGTACACATATATTCAGTAAAGTCTTTCATGTACCTTGTAGATATTACGGTGAAAATTTTAGCTGTGAGGAGAAAACTATCTGAAGTTTGGCTCTTTAGAAAACAAGGTTTATTGATTTATATTCTGAAAAACTCTCTAGGTGATCAGTAATTGAAACATGCTTTTCTTCCTACTAATGAGACAGGAACAAAATATAAATTGCTCCCTGCAAATAATGATATTTTTCTCAACTGCAAGCAAGTATGTTGAATATTGGGATTCCCTTATTCCACATGAATGTTGCCATTCAGCTCTGGATCTATGATTGTTTTTAAGTATGGTTACAGGAGACTACATGAACTGGCATGACACTATATTTGTGAATGTATTGTGTGTATTTGTATGCAAAACCTCACTGATTATGCTGCAGAGCTTATGAACAGAGCTTACTAGGCGAGAGACATACATTTTAAAATGCTTTGTAAAATGAGGCTCTCATTTGAAGCAGTTAACCTCTTAGTGACATTAAGATTTGGTGGACTAGCCATCATTAAAAATCTGGTGTGTCAGGATGAAATATTTGTAGACAAAAAGCACATTGTAAGGGCTCTCCTTTAGGTATCCCTTTTTTTTTTTTTTTTCAGTTTCTTTAACTAAAATATGCCAACTTTACTGCTGACATTTGCAGTTGTAAGTTTATCATCTATCTGCACATGGCATGAGAAGATTAAGAATAATATAAAGGAAACAATCCTTGATTTCCTAAGCCATATTTCACCTACTCTGAATAGTCACCGTGCAGAGCCCTACTCTGTATTGCTGCAATCTCAGCCAAGTGCACTCTTTGGCTCCATTTTTTCTGGCTAATCTGCTTGTCTCAAGAAGGACTTTGTAAAGCTTATACTTTCTAAGTCTCACCATGATCTGTTAGATCTTCTTATCAGCCCTAGAAACCAGTAATTCATTCTTCTCTCTGAAAATACCAGGAAAATATTTCAATTTTTATTTTTACAGAAAATAATTGTGATGGATCCTGGAATACATTTCTAAAACTGTAAACCAAGACCTTCCTATTAAAGTTCAGAAGATACAATCAGATGCCATTCCTGGGGTTTAATATAAAATTATCTTTTGTGTTTTGAAATAGAATGCGCCACTTAAGAAGTATCTGAGTTACTGACAGCTCCTGAGAAATGTGTGCTTTCCTTCTTTGAGGCTTTCATCTTATTTGGAATTCTTCCACACTTAAACAATGTTGCAGGAGAAATTCTGTTACTACTGAAGCTGCAAATGGGACTGGAATATCTTCATTTTTTCTCCTATGGGAGCACTCCTGGTTCTCTGTGAAACTGATGAAGAGTCAAGCAGATTAGGCAGATTAGTCCTGGGCTGAATCTACCTGTGTTGCTACATCAGTAAAGAGATAATAATCTGTGATGTCAGATAAAATACAGTTTCTGCCTCTTGTTTTACACCCATCAGCGCAACAAACCTTTTCAGAGCATATTTTGCTTATAGAGGAAGTTGTAGAATTGGGTATCTTATAAAGAACAGTAACCATATTCAAATTATAAGCATTTGAGGAAATAAACATTTGAATGATGCTGGGTCACCTTGTAATATAACAAAAATCTTTATATAAATCTTAGTGGCAACTGCACGCAACTTCAATTTCTCAGCAATTTCTGCAATCTCTTGGGTATTTCAGCACCACTCTGTGACACTCCCTAAGCACCTAAGCAAGGGCTCAGGTGGTTTTGGTGATACACAGCATCCTGTGACGCCTGAACTCCCCAAGCATGAAGAAAAGAGAGAGACTCACTGTAGCCCCTTGTTGCATTCAGTCCACAGGCTGGACGGCTCAGTGCAGCTCAGCTCCTGCCCTACATCAAAGCTGCTCCTGGAGCAAAAGCATTTTTCAAACACCTGCAGAAAGCAGAGAATACTGTACGATGTCTGATACAAATGTACGATACGCTATACCATACACATCATTATGCAGTGGCCTTCTAGGCTCAGATTAAAAATGACTGCAGTTCCTTCTGGGTCTATAATGCCAAAACAGGGTAACCATCTGAAATACACAGCTTTAGTGAAGACAGCCGTTGCGTGGAGGTGGAGATATATTACATATGTTCCCCTACATTTTGTAGTTCCTCTTTCACTTGAGAGATAAATGCTTCCACCCAATCAAAAATTCATTCTCTATTTCATATAAGTCATCACTGCGGTTTCTCATATATGCTCAAATTCTTCATTTATATACTTAAGCATATAACAACAGCTTAGAGATGCTGAGGTGTAACTTGCAGCACATCACAGAAACAACTAGACTTTCCCAGAAATTCTGGTAGCCTGTTCTGTTTAATCAACTGAATTGGCATTATCCCATTAATATAAAACATACCCAAAACAACCTCAGGCTTTCCAAAGGCCCGATCATCCTCCATAAATATCAGCCTGGAAAACTCATTATTTTAAGTTATCTCATGAGTTTCTTTGGATCCCAGTTTTGAAGAGTGAAACCAATCCAAGAGAGTAAATGACTAGTACAGGCAAAGAGAAGACCAAAGGAAACAGATGGGAGAAGATAGCATGACACAGGGGTCAGTCTGAAGACCTTTGTGTGCAAGGTTTCCCTTGCACGCCGTCAAGATACCGGTGCTCACAGGAAAACCAGCCAAAGGTCTCGGGGTACCAGATAAGGACAATTTGTTTCCATCAGGTGCT